GGGTATGATGGAATTGAATGCTGAACTGTAGTCCACAAACAGCATTCTCACATACGAGTTCTTAGTGTCCAGGTGTTCCAAGGCTGTATGCAGAGCCAGGGAGACAGCATCATCCACTGATCTGTTGTTCTGGTAGGCGAACTGCAGGGGAGAAACTTAAAAAATCTGTTCCACTACATTTTATAGCTGCTATGCTGAACAGTCTTTTACATTCAGCATTGTCTACAATAGCCTAAATGATTTTGACACAATTATAATAGGCTCTTGTTAGAAAACTTCTCTTGGACAGACTTCAGTTTATGTATGGTCTCTCATTCCAGCAATTACTTACAGTTAACTTTTTTCCAGTTGTGATTTGGACAACAGGGGTTGCAGTCATCTGATTAGTTAGTTGTTAAGTTGCTAAGAGCCTAGAGTGAGAGCTGTGCAGAACTACTTGTGAAGTTGTATTGTCATGGGGGAGACTCTCAGTTGATTGACTGTTAATGACATCATCATTTGTAGTGCTAATCCCATTTGGTAGGTTCCTCATTGGTGAATCACAGTTTATGACAGGTGACCTGCAGATGGAGTACTTTACTCAATTAAGCAGTGTCAGGGAGGTTTTCTGTTCATTATGTAATATTTATTAACAATGCTGTCTTTTGTTAAAAAATCCTTCTCAAGCTAGCAGGCTAGATACTATATTTAGTCCCCTAATGTAAACCTTGTTTTTCGTATTTGACATAGAAATTTAAATGAAGTTCTTGAATTTTATAATAGTATTTAAACAGTAAATATGATGTATGCATAGATAGTGAACAGTATTTACAAATCTTAAAAGGTGTTCATAAATCCAGCTATATTAGTTCATAATAACAAAAAGGGTAAATAATCCCTTGGTCTGTTAGAGTTCTTAATAGACTTCTCCAGGATTCCTTAACTAAGAATGTGTCAGCAAAGTTACCAAACTGAATAACAATTCACTGTCAGGTTAGACTGTGGATTCTCTGTTTACTACAGCTGATTAAGTTTGGAACTTTCCCATTTTTAAAGCAAAATGTTTGTGTAATTTTATATTTAACACTGGGGAATATACAAACACACAGTTCTCATGGTGGTACTTTGTAGAAATTAAATATTATATATTTTTAAAAAATATATTTGTGTAGAAAACAATAATTCTAAAACCCAAGGTGGCTTGCACAAAAACATTCTCATGGGGGACTATATCTTATCAGGTTGATGAATAGAAAAAAAAATGGTTGCTGTATTCCAATATTTTCAACACTGCTTCAGTTTATTTTCATAAAGAAATTTCCTGAATTACATTGTGACAGCGCAATACATCTGGCCCTGGGTAAGTGAAATGATCAATATAGCAGTTACAATATAAATAGTTTCTACTGCAAAATAGAGAATATACTGCAACATTATTTAAGATATAACATACCAAGAACAGACATTTAAACTGTGAAAAGCAGGACAATTTTGAGGTATAATGTAATATTTTTATGGTTATTTACAGTGCTCATATAAAAACTGCGGGGGTACAGTATGTACAGTACTTAGTTCAAAACTTCAGTATGAAGTAAAATCTTGTGATAAATCTGATCATTTGCTAGCATTTTTAATGTTGGTCACTTTTTAAGTATCTTCTCAGCTTTTCTTAAGAATGCTTAAATTTAGATTTCAATATTTATTTGTCTATTATTGTTTTATCAGTGGTGTTTCAGACATAAGACGTTTATATATAGCAAAATGCTAAAGAATTTCTGATACAGTCACCTGACAGACTCTCTGTAAAAGCCTGCCAAAAATCCCCAAACATGGCTCTGGACAATCTAAACAATTTTTCGCCCCATCTCCAACTTATCCTTTCTTGCAAAAATTCTAGAACATGCTGTTACATTCCAGTTAAATAAACACCTCATTGCAAATAACCTTTTCAAACCCCTCCAATTTGGTTTCCGACAGCTTCACAGCACAGAACTGCCCCAGTCAAAGTCACTAACAATCTTCTAATAGCTTCTGATTCTGGTTCTCTTTCTATACTCATCCTTCTTGATCTCAGTGCTGCTTTTGACACTGTTGACCACGACATCTTACTTTCTCATCTTGAGACGTTGTTTGGAGTTTCTGACTCTGCTCTCAAATGGTTCAGGTCTTACC